GTGTGTGTGTGTGTGTGTGTGTGTGTGTGTGTGTGTGTGTGTGTGTGTGTGTTTTAAATTAAATCCTAAAATGAACGGGTGATTTTGCCAAACAAAGCTACAGCCCTGTTAAAGTAACGAAACTAAACAGTTTCTGATCATCTGCCAGAGAAAGTTTTCACGGATTACAAAATTTCAGCTGAGATCACAATCCTCTACCTTTTATTCAAAATTTCTCAAACTTTATTAGAATGATTTAATATGTGTTTAAAAAAAAAAAATCCAAGTGCATTTGTAAATGTAGCCATCATTAAATGGTAAAATAACGCAGTAAAGTGGTTTCAAGTTTTAGTTGAGCTGTGTAAAGACTTTCACAGAAGCTCCAGTCTTGTTACCGACCTGAATTGATGCCTGCATCTTGAGTAAGGAAGAGAAAACAAAATGCATCTCAGCCTGATTATCAGGGTACTGTAGTTCAGCTGCTCAGGTCACAGATGAATGGGGCACTTAAGTTCTTCATTTCACTGCAAGCATGCTTTCACTGGCGACTTCTCCAGCTGATCATAAAAACAGATCTTGCTCCAGGCACTGTAACCAAATCTCCATTCAGATTCTACTTAAAAATAACCCAAAAAGTAACTAATTTACAAACAGAAGACTAAAATTGTTGAATATACTTTTAAGAAAAACAAGAGCTTATTTCAAATGAACAAAAGTGCACTCACTTCACTAACTATCATACTAGCTCTCAATGCTGTCGACAGTTGTGGTCAGAAGTTTACATTCACTCACTGTGGGCATGAATGCCGTGGTAGTTTTGAGCTTTGAATGATTTCTTTTAACTGCTCTTTCTCCAGGGTGGAGTGATTGTACAGCATTCATCTTTAATGACTTGACAGAACAAGAACTGGATGCTCAAGTTTGAATTTATTTAGGTTTTTCTCTAATCTGCACAGGGTCAGAAATATACATACAGATGAGTTTCTCTTCATCAGTATAAAAAGGATTGTTTGACAGCAGTCATTGGATTGACCAATACTCAGAACAATGGCAAAGACCAAGGAACTCTAAGGAGAACTGTAGATTTACAGAAGTTAGGAGGGCCTCTTGGAGCCATTTCCAAACAAATGCAGATTCCAAGATCACGAGCTCAAAAAGTTGTGCATAAGTACAAGTTATTCAGATGTGTCTCCACTTTGGGTCATCTTTCAGACGTTGGCAACCTGTCACTCTCAGAAGAGAGTAAACATGTAATGACACTGAATCTGCTGAAACATCAGCATCACTGTCCACAGGGAAACTCGTTTTACATCACCATGGACTGAGCAGTGCCAACAAGGGAAAAAAATGGAAAATTTGTAGCTTCCGATGGTTAAACGAGACAAAGTTTGAGCTATTTGGCCACAATGACAAGAGGTAAGTTTGAAGAAGTAAAGGTGAAGCTTTCAAGTATGTTGGTGGTAACATCATGCTCTGGGATGTTTTGATAGCAGTGGTACTGCAACATTACACAATGTGGATGGAATAATCAAGAAAGACAACTACCCTAAATTCACCTCCAATCAGTAGTTGGAGAGATGAAACTTGCTGTTTCAAGAGAACAATGATCCCAAACACACATTGAAAGTGGTTGTCGTTGTTTATTTTCAAGTTTCAACTTGGGTAGAAAAACAACAGAATATGAGTGAGGGTGTATGTATACTTTTGACCCCGTGTGGATTAAAGAAAATCCAAAATAATTTCAAGCTGTGCACTCAGTTCTTGACTTTTTAAAGCCATTAAAAGGTGTATTGTGTTTAATCATTCCACCCTGGAAAAAGAACAGTTCATAGAAATGATTAAAAGTCCTAAATGAACATGACATGTATGTAAACATCTGAGCACAACTGTATGTGAGTGTGTGTACGTGAATGTATCTGTGACTGATACCTCTGACTGATATGGATAAACTCATGTGGCATGTCAGTGTAGGTTCTCAGTCAGCATGGTCATAGTAATCTGAGGAGCTTGGAAAGGAAAGCAACTACAACTTAAAGGAGTCCATTTGCTTTCTTTTCAAGCTCCTTGGATTACTCATGTGCAGTGATGGGAATAACGGCGTTACAAGTAACGGCGTTACTTTTTTCCAGTAACGAGTAATCTAACTAATTACTATTCCTATCGTTACAACGCCGTTACAGTTTCTAACAAGAAAATGCGGTCCGTTCAACAAACAGACGGTTGAAGCTGTGTTCAGCTTACCGCATCTTATATCAGTTGCCGAAAGTAGCTGACTACGTAAGTAATCTGGACGCTACAGCTTTAAGCAGCTGCGCGCGCTCCCGCGGACGATAATCACGATCACTGTCTACAACACCTGGAGCTAAGGGGGCAAAACACTCGCATGAGTGCTGCTGTTTGACTGAGGAAGAATAAAGTAGTCGTGGTAAGCCAATCACATGACCACTTAAAGACAAAGCAACAAGGTGATATATACCAGTTTTTAAATTGTGTTGATAGGCCACGTAAAACCAGAGTCATCGATAAACAATATATACGCGGCGTTTTTTCCCTCAATAGTTTCTCACGTTTACTGTCTAAGGACAGCGCTAGCAAGCACTCTCTGCTTATAGCAAGAACAAAAAAAAAAAAAACAAAAAAAACGGGAAGTTTTAGGAGTGACGGCGAGAGAGAGAGAGAGAGGGGAGAGAGAGAGTTTTGAGATCGTGAGAGATTTGTGAGTTTAGCGTGTTTGGAGTGTGTAGTTAATGTGTTGTCTTGTGTAGTGTTGTGGATAGTTTTGTGTTGTGTGTCAGAACAATGAGGTGACTGCTGTCTCCTGCTGTCAGGCCTGCAGGTATCAGGCTGTGATGTTCTCCTTTATAGTGGACAGAAATTATTGTTTTGGAGTGGCACAAATAATTTGTGTGGCATCTTATTGAATGCAGAACAGCTGATTGTTCTGTAAATAGTTTGAAATGGTTATTTAAAAAAATCAAGGTAAAAGGTAAATGGATGCAAATAACTTTGTTGTTTGCAAAACTTGTGCATAGGATTTTAAAATTGACCATTTATATTTGCATTTAAAGTTATGAAATATGATTCATTAAACATGTTTGTGGTTGTTACAGTAAAAAAATAACTTTTTCTACTCTGATTTTATGTTTTTTGTCTGATTTTAGATCAATTGTGTTAATACAGTATGTCAAAATGAAAACATAACTGTAAATTCAGACACGTGAGGTTGTGCTGAAAAGAATGATACCAAACAAGGCAAAGTAAATAGTTTTTAAAGGTGAAATGTGGAGGGAAAATCAAAAGTAGTTAAAAATGGCCAATTATACCCTGGACCCCAGAGGGTTAAACATTTTTTTTTTAAAGTAACGCAATAGTTAGTTTTCAAGTAATGAATTACTTTTAGAATATTGTAACTCAGTTACTAACTCCGTTACTTTTTTTGAAGTAGTAACTAGTAACTATAATTAATTACTTTTTCAGAGTAACTTGCCCAACACTGCTGATGTGGCATATTGTCTTCCCGCATTGCCAGGAAAAAAGATTTAAGTACGTGGCATGTGTATTTGTTCATCTTTGTTGGTGGTGGAGTTGTTGAAAAAGCCTTTTCCTCACACTAGAATTAATTTCAAGATGAAATATTTGCATCCAACTTATTTAGTGCTTGAGTGGTTTGCTTTGGCTGCCTGATTGGTTTAGACTGGTTGTCAACCCCACTGTCTGGAATCTATCAGAGAAAAGAGACAGAAAAACATAAATTTGCACTTCCTTTAACCTTCTGCATGACCACAATTGCAGAGGGAAACATGCAAGTGGTGATAATTAGCCCAGCTAACCTCTGTGAGTCGTGGCAGTGCAGCACAGCCCGTCTCCTCTGCCCGAGCTGTAGATGGGGGACACACACACTCGACTGTTTGGTGCAAGATGGGTGAGCTGTGTTGAACGGGAGCTAGGAGGTAGGTACATTGAAGAGGTGGTGCTGTGGGGGTTTTCTGTCTCCCATTTGATCCAGTAGCCTCTTAATCCTCCCTGACTGGCTTGCCACTTTACTTGCATCTCCTCCACCCCCAAGTCCCGTCGTTTTACTGGTTCCAGCTGAAGGTCAATCAGAGCAGGCAGAGCTTCTGCAAGAGGGAACAGAGGCAAAGATTTAAGCAGCCTGGTAATAAGTAAGGCTGATACAGAATCTACAAATAGCAATTATTTAAAAACAACAAAAGAGCCTTTAAGTATCAACTTCTAAATGTCAGCTTCCAGTGCAGACATGGGACTGAACTGGAAGAAGAAGGAATATCAGTACCTGCCAGTGTGCAGGCTCTCACAGACATAGCTCTTTCTTTTCCATCCACCTGCAGAGCAGTGACTGTAACCAGGTACTGAGTTCCCGGCTCCAGGCCGGTCAGTAAGGTTGAATTTTTCTGCCTGGGTAAGGTCACAGTGCGGACATGTGAACTGGGAATAGCTCCATACTCCACTGTGTATTGCTGTACCCGAGCCAGCTGCAGAGGACCCCAGCTTACACGGATCTGATGAGGACCATGATCTGACAGGTGGACCACTGCTGGGCTTAAAACATCTGAGGAGTGCACAAGAAGAAGGGACACACACAGCAGCAGGTGAGAAGATGGCTTTCAGGATTCAATTTTAACTTTTGGTGCTAAAACACTGGTAGTATCAGTTTTAACTTCCTGTAGAAACCCTAGCATGCTTCAAACTGCAACTGAATGAGTAAAATGGGGTATTGTAATATACTGGGCTTAAATGCTGTTTATAAGGTTGGGGAAACCTGCAGTCAGCTGAGACTGAAGAAGTCACTTGGATGAGTGACGAAACATTTCTCCAACTGAAAACACTACGTCCAGATGAACAGAATCAACTTTTGGAGAGTTCAAATGCCACATATTGACCAAGTCCTTTGGCTTTTGACGATGGGTTTCTTGTAAGGCACTATATAAATCTTATTTATTATTTATTATTATAAAAATTCATCTTCAGAGCTGC